ACCAAACAAGCTAGACCCTGGGTCCTCCTTCCTTGGTACCTTTGGGAACCAAGCAAATACCAATTTCAGGTTGTGTGTGCATGCCTGTAACCTCAGCAGCACAGGAAGCTGAGGCAGGAGGATCACAAGTTCAAAAGCAACCTCAGCAAAAGTGAGGTACTAAGCAACTCAGTGAGACCCTGTCTCTAAATAAAATACAAAATAGGGCTGGAGATGTAGCTCAGTGATTGACTGCCCCTGAGTTCAATCCCCAGTACAAAAAAAAATTATATTAAATAATTTTATCTATTTGAAGGTCCAAAAATTCTACCCAGTTTGATGGAGTTCAAATGCAATTAGCTAGATTCCTACATGGTTCTTTTAATAATAAGGAATGGAGAGAAGAATATAGATGCCTAAGGAAATCACAGTGAACTGTAGGACATTTCCACTTTAAACACATCAGATGGCTTTGGAACTGTATGAATCATTGGTATATGCCCTGACCCCGGATAAACTGGCAGGAGATGTGACTTTCTCTGGAGTTTTTGCATCCCTGGTGCATTGAGGTAACTATTCCCTTGTTCTGTGTTTACCCAGAGTAAAGCACATTCTTAGTTTTAATATTACAGGGATAAAAGGGAAGCCGAGGTTCAATGACTAGAACCAATAACACAGTTCTCAAAAGATGCATATTTTTTTTCACATGTTGATCAAAACAAGCAGAAGCAAAACACATGATTCACCAGAGGCACCCAAAGAAAAAAAACTCTACCCCAAATCTTTGTATTTTCCCCCTAAATCTGAAACACACTATTTTGACTTGGGTAGAATGACATTGTTGAGAGGGACTGAAAGTGCTATAAAGAAGATTAAACGATTCTCAGCATCTTCCTAGATTTAAGCAGAGAATAACAGTAACTGCCATGAAATCACAAAATTCAATTATCATTACAGAAATGTGGTCACTAGCATTGACTCATATATCTGTACTCATCATTAGCAGCGCTGACTTTGCTTATGGAAACTCAATTTTAATGACATTTATCTTCTAAGAGTTTTCAAATAATTTCATAAAGATAAAAGTTAGCTAGCATGTGGAATATATACATACTCCACCACATATTTACATGGATTTGTGTGCAAAGACATGCATACCACGAAGGCTGAGCATGTTGGCCTCTAGAAAGGAACTGGGTCTGGGGAGAAACATAATCGACATGAAACCGGGTACATCAAAACTGCTTAATGGTTTTCTGACGGGCCTGGAGGCAGTGGAGAACAGCATGTCCAATTGGAAGCCCAGGGAAAATTCTGAAGCAGTGGGGGGAAAAAAAAAGAAAGAAATGAATCCCTCTCTTTCTCTTTTTCTTTTTGAACTCTATAATTTCTTAACATTGTTCTTTTGAAGCCTGACATTAGGATGAAAATTCCTTGAGGATTGTGAGGCCATAGAATGTATTACAAAGGAGGGCCAGGAATGTCCTTTAATGCAGATCTTTAAGGAGAGGGCAGAAGACAAGAGTTGCAGGTTCTTTTTAATTTATTTTATTTTTTTCTGATTTTAACATTCTATGGGAATGAATTCTAACTCACCCTGACTAGCATGAACAAAACAGAAACAAACGTTGACTTGCTGATTATTTCTGCTCTACCCCACAGTATGATAAGCGAGAGCCTTAGTGGCAAGGATGCTCAGCGTCATGTTTTGTTCCCCCACTCTCTCCATGTACCAGTCTTCACAAGAAATCTGAATTTCCTTGCCCTCTATGCCTATCCACAAACCCCCAGCCTTGGAGCAGCAGAAACATCCACTGTCTCCCTGTGGTACTTGTGGAGGAGGCTCTGGGCAGACCCTGGGTCTCCAGCTTCCAGAATGCACGATGGGCCCAGAACATGATTTGTGCCTGTTCAAGCTCTGTTCTCAATGCCCAGAGGAATTACTCCAAATCATCTACTCTTCTCAAATTCTCTGAAGTTGAAATTCTCTTCCTTTGAGTCGAGATCCTGTGTGTGTGTCCACACTCTGAGGACACACTCTCGGTCCCTTCTTCAACGTGTCCATGGCCTCCCATGGGGTAAACTGAGGCCTATGGGTATGAACTCCCTTGATTTCTGGCCACCCATATCCACACACGGCCTACTTCCAGCAACAGAAAACGAGGCTTGCTTCCTCCTGATCGAAGGTGAACAAGCCCCAGACCTTGGACCCCAGCCCTCCTGGATGGGTTTAACCCTTCTTCATTTCTCCTTCTCTCTCCCATTTTTCAACCTCCCTGAGTTTCTCCATGGTCCATAAATTTGTTCAAATAGTTTCCATATGATTCTCTAGAAAATAGTAAGCTCCATGACTTTCTTGTTCTTTCTTGATGACTTCCCAAAAGGACAGTTCTGTACTTCTGTCTCTCTCTGTGCATTTTTCACTCACTCTTCAAGCCACACCTTCTCACTGTCTCCTGTCCCAGAGGCTCCTCTTGTTCCCTAAGGACGTTGGTGAACCTCATGCTAATGAGTCCTTATATTACTGAATGAGCCTCATTTGATACTGTCGACCACTCTCTGATGTTGAAAATGCTTTCTGTGACCCTTTCTGGGTGCAGCACCTCTGAACTCCAGTTCTCTTCCTCCTCCTCCTCTGTGGGTGCCTCTTTCCCCAATCCCTGGGCACAATGTCTCTCTCTGGCCTGGTCTTCACTCTCCTTGGAAAAGCTCATCTCGTCTCATAGCTTTGAGGGTCACTATCACACAAAGCATGAGTAATTTCATAGTTTTCTTCCACATCTTACTCCCTCAACTTGAGACTCATCTATACAACTTGCCTGGATATTTTCACTTCAGTATTCATTAACATGCTGGATTCAGCATGTCTAAAACTTCCCCTTGATTGGTGCTGCCTTCATATGTTCTGTCTCAAGAGCTGGCACTGGATTATCTGGTTGCATTATCTGTTTGCAGGTAAACTTTACTCTTCTACCCCACACGGCTAACCAGCCGCCAACAGTTTTGACTCAGCTCCTAAGTAGATCTCAAGTCTGGGTTCCTTCCTGATGATCACACCCTAGTTTAGATGCATATCATAACCCAAGAGAATTTGTAAAATAGACTCCAAACACACCTTCCTACACCCACGTTGGTCCTCCTTAAACCCATCCATTACACATTGCCAGAGAGATGGATGACTAAAATCTGACCTACCTTTTACCTGCCTATCACTACAAGATAAAGTTCAAACTTTTCAGTTAGTTGTACTATAGGGAGATACAGCTAGGATTTCTAATCAGGAAAAGTTGGAACCAACGATCACTGGGAATGCCGGCACCCACATGATATAAACCTACCCAGTCAGCTCAAGTCTACTTTTATAATTATTTGCACATGTGCTTGTTTCACTGATTAGATTGTCTTTAGAGAAGAGACTGTCCCTAGAGCTCTGCACCGTGCCTAGCAAGTAGGGAGAATTTAATAAATATTTGTTGACGTGGGTGTGCAAATGAACTTGCTATGGATCTCTGGAATTTGCTTCTAGGAATCTGAAGCGAAAGGGTGAGACATGGATTTTGAGGTGAAGGGATCAAGGAGAATATGTGATGGAATAGTGGGTGTCTGGCACCAGGTGACCTGAACCTAAGAATAGAGGTGCCTCTGATTTCATAGGACGGCCTCAAGTATTGCAAAGGAAAGCAGAGGTGGAGACGCAGAGGAAGAGTCTATGAAAACACTGAAATGGCCTCCAACTTGCACTTCGCCTATGCTGATAAGGACAGAATGTACGTTGGAATTCCTCTGAAATGTCTGTCTTGCGGGGAACAGATTATCATCTTCATGAACCTGTCCTGATACATCAGGTGGTTATCATACAGGTGTTAGTATCCAGGGAATTCAGCCCAAGAAGTGTCTACGTTCAAGGAGTAAGGAATGCCTCATGATGGGGTCCTCCCTTGAGATCTGAAGAAGCTTTCATCAGTGGGAAAACACCTCTGCACTCCCTCGTGACACTTTCAAAGGACACAAAGGCATCGCTTCTATCACTGGATACACTTAGGCTCTGAAAGATCCCACAGGGTCCAGCAGCTTTGTCCCTAAAAGGAGGTCCCAAGTCCTTTATCACACAAATGGCATTTTTCTTCCTATCTAAATGTCAGAAGACACCCAAGGGTACTGTCCTTCCATATTTTTTGTGAATCATGTGAAGGCGGTTTGGGAAATTAAAACAGTACACAAATCTCAGGTATCATTTTTGTGACTTTTATCAAAAACTTCTTGTGCACCTAGAAAAAATATAAGCCAACTACTTCATTATTATTCTTCTCATCCATCAATTAAACCCTTCTATTTCTAGAATCTTATTTTTTTTCTGATCATTGTTAAGACTCCCAAAGGATTTTTCTGGTATTGTTCACAAGGCTAAAATATGCATAATACATTAGATAATTGTATTATGGAAAGCTAACTTGATTACTATCCTATTATCCAAACCCTACAAGATATGGCATTTAAAATGATAATTAAACCTATCAGTGTTAGTGCTTTAATGAAGTTCCTGCCTTCAGAGAATGATTTTAAAACAAAACAAGGCAAAAGAGCTTTTAACTCACAAGTAATCTCTCTCATTGCTTTCTGTTGGCATATTTCTCTTTCTTTTGTCTTTTACACCCTGATACTGTTTTCCAGTTTCTTTCCATCTATGGTAAGGAGTTATGCTTTCATTGTTCATGTTATGATAATTCTTTTTATCTTGATTCCATCATGTCATGCCAGATTTCTAAGTTGGAAGAAAGATTTAAGGAAGATTCAGATGAAGAATTAAGCCTGGAGGTAAACTTCATCTCTCTGTTGGTGGGTATTGCCTGCTCCTTTCACTCTTTTTTAATATAATTAGTGGAAAAAATTCTATAATTGTGATTCCCACGAATTGTTGGTGACAGTAGCAATTTCTAGAGCCATTCCAGAGGGTAATTTGGAATATATGTAAAGCTTAATTGTGTTGCCCTTTGACCTGGAAAAAATTACAAGAATGTATGTATTTTCAAGGATGTTCATCAATCATAGCATTATTTATTTTTAAAAAATCTAAAAACAACCGAAAGAGGTAACAGTCAAAACAACAGCAAAGACATTCCAGGCAGTCCTTCAAAGTAATGATATTGTCATGTAAAAGTCCCCCTCACACAGGAGAACAAAACAATTTTAAAAGAGGATATATAGTACAACTTCACTTTTGTTAAATTGTGTGTGTGTGTGTGTGTGTGTGTGTGTGTGTGTGAGAGAGAGAGAGAGAGAGAGAGAGAGAGAGAGAGAGAGAGAGAGGTTTAAGTCTATAAGGATATTCAACAAGGTAACAGTAGTTATCACAGGATTCAAGTAGAACATTAGACAATTTTGAAAAATTGCTTTCCCTCTGTCTGAATATATTATCATGAGCATATGTGCTTCTCATTTGGGAAAATGAAGTACTAAACTTTGATACCATAACTTTGCAAAATCCCACACAGGGCACCTCCTTGAGATCCCCAAGAAGAGAAGGAGACAAGAGTACTGTGCCTTGAACTCGCTGGCTCAGAATTTCAGTCATCTTGGCTCTGCCAAGCTACTAGCTCCAGAGAGCCACGTTCCAGTACTGAGTAGTTAAATGTCATGAGCATGTTCTGAGAGTGTGTCAGACAGGAAATGAAGGACCCGATTTCTAGGAATAGTGGTGCCTGCCTTGGAGGTCACTGACAACCCTCTGAGATCAAGATCATGATATTTTTCAGTCCAGAGAATTACCCAAAAAGCTAAGTTCCATTCAGGCGAGAAGCCCTTAAAAACAACTGGTGAGCAGGTCATTCAGTTCCTGTTCACTCTGGTCTCACCCACCAGTGTAGATGCTGGTTCCCAAAGACGTTTAACATAAACTCTCTCCGTCACAGAGAGAAACACAGGGTTTCCTGGTGTAAATATTCTGAGCATGCTAGACAGTACTTTCAAAGCAAAACAAAACTCGATTTAAAAAATAATAAACCTTCCATTGATGTTGATAATGAAGGAGATCTATTACTAAGTCTTGCCTAATTTCAGAATCTTAAAAGTAATTCATAGCATGTGGGGCTAGTTATTTTATAATAAATAAATGATTCCAACTATTTCTCCTTAGACTCCAGAACAAGTTTTTTTCTTTTTTTTTTCCCCCTCCCTTTGGTTTGGAGTTTGTTTTAACAACAGTAGCATGACACAATTCCTTCAGATTTCCCAGCCAGAAGGAAGGAGTTGCTGACTAAACCTGGACGCAGCCTCCGACATAGCAGTAGCAGCTCTAGATGCATTGTTTGTTCTCAGAGTTTTGGTTTCTTCATCCTTGAAGATCACGGCTGATGTCCTTTTCTTTCTGGTGTATAATTCTTGGGCCAGGCCTGAGTTGGCGAGTGAGAAAGTAGAAAGAGTACTCAGTACAAAAAGACACTCCAGTTTGACCCAGAACCACCCGTGTTGGTTACACTGGGGTAGAGTATAGACAGGAGACAGAAGAAGGTACTAAGTTTCATGAATGCTTCTTATAGGCAAGCGGTGTTATTGATGCATGATCAGAGCTAACACCTTCAGAGCTCCTACCACATCCCAGTGCTGTCCCATTGGGCCCAGCAAGGGTCCTGTGCACTTGGGGCTGAAGCTTTGGAGTTCTCGTGGTTGGAAGTGACAGAGGAAGAACTACAACACAAGTCTAACGACAGAACCTGAAGACGAGCTAAATTACAGCTACTAGCTAAATTCACTCTACTTTGTCTGGGAGGCCTAAGTAATTGACCCAAGTCAGACTGCTAATAAGCAGCAGAGTGAGGATTTGAAAGCAGATTTGTCTGACTCCAAAACACACTCTGCTTCAAATCTACATGAGGATTCCCTGGATTCCAGCAGCGAAGAGAGATTTTCATCTGCATTAGCAGTGTTGCCAATTTGTCTCCACTTGGAGTCTTGGTGACTTGGTCCCGTTTTTTAAACCCAAAATATGGTCGACAAAATAAAAAAGGAACTCTGGGTTTATGTGACCAGTAAGCCACAGTTACCAAGATAATTTTAGACTGAGTTTTAGAGATCTTAGGCTACATGCTGTAACTTCTATGGTATTTCCTTTTTAATTTTTGTTTTGCCTTTTTTAAGGCACCTCTAGGTTGCTGACTTCACCAGCATCAATGCCAACAAGAAGGGGAATAAATTACTGGGCCAGGAGTCAGCAGAAGGTCCAGGACCGAATATAATTCAAAGTAAGGATTTTTTTTTTTTTTTTAAGTTTGTCTGCTTTTGCTGGAAGGACCTTCCTTGTCCTTCCTACTTACCCTACTCTATGGAAGTGAGCTCTCAGCCACTATGACTAGCCTGGGAGTTTATTGATACCATATTTACATTGCTATCCCAAACTGCCAAGGCAAGGTGTGTTCACCTGTGAGTTTGTCAGAGGTTACCTCCAAAGTACCCCGAGTTTTCTTGGGTGATGTGTGCTTATCTGTCTGAATCTCCACTCACCATCAGTGCTTTTGACCATAGTTTTTCCTCTTCTTGCTTGGCTCCAACAGTCAATGTCCCCTGCTCCCTTCTTCCTTTTAAGGAAGCAGCATCATTACCACTGGGAAGACGCCTCTCAAGAAAGTAGAAAGGTCTACTCCCAAGCTTCTGCCTTTCACTACTTCCTGGCTTCTGGTCCTCAGGGACTTGGAGAGGTCCAGAGAATCCCTCATTTTCTCAGCTCTTGTACACTTTGTCACCAGGGCTACCATGATGTTGCTGCTCAGTGTCTAGAAAGGCTTTCAAAAAAAAACCAAAAAAAATTTATCCAGTTTCTTTTGAAAAGCTGCAACTTTGTTTTGGGCCAAACTGGCGGGAGAGTAGGTTTACCCATGCACAGGCAAACGTGACCAAGTTGTGAGGGAGCCACTAGATCACCTTCTAGCAATCTAGAACGGAGGCAGGAAGTTAAGAGTGAGAGGAGCTGACCAATTGTACAGGAGTCCACAATGCACCTGTCTGTTGATTCAGCCCTGCAAGGTTTTACCTTTCAGAAAGGTGCCTGGCAGAGAAATTGTTTTAAGTCCATAGGAAAAAACTCAAAATCAAAGGGCAAGATAGAACTCTCTTGATCCACGTAGTTACACGTACCAAATCCTAGCATAGTCAGACTGATTTAAAAAAACATGTTTTGATAACTTTCTATATGCCAAGAATATTTGCAGGTATAGAGCAGGCACACAATGATATTTGGTGACTAATGTAACAGAAATGGTAGTAGCAACAGTAAAAATAATATCAGACATCTGCTCTGTGCCTCTTATTTTGCCAGGTACTATAGCAAGTGATTAAGATTCTCTTATTTATCCTCCCAACCATTCTATGAGATATATATTACCATCTTTGGCAAGTGGGAAAAAAAAACAAAGCACAGAGTGCCAGGGCAATTTTTCAAGGTCACACCTCGTCTTTAAGGGGAATACAGCTCCACTACTTCTGTCTCTGGCACGCAGTCAGCAACATTTTTGCCATGCATTCTGATCGATGCTTGGGACCATCATATGAAAGAAAGTGCAGCTCTGACCATTCTCCCTTTGGAGACTCCTCTGTCAGTGCTGTAATGTACCCAACACAGCATAAAAGCTAAACCTCTGCAGGTTTACTAGAGTAAGTCCAGGTAGTCTGGCTCCAATTTCTTGAGTTTTACAACTTCTTACAAAGCTTGCGAATAATCTCTGGTACCTGTCTAATCACTCTTAGAAGAACAACAACATGTGTTTCTGCAGGACCTTGGCCTTTTAAACAGGTCCTGTCTGCTGAGCTTAAAAGAGAATTCCTTAGGCTCTTCTCAATCCCTCCAGGCACTTGGCTCTTGAGATAAGTGGTCCAGCACATACCAGCAACTAGAGCCTGCAGTTATTAGCTGAGGAATCTCATTTACACTAAGGTCCTATCTATACCACTTTCCCATGTCCAAAATATCAAGAAACACATTTAGGAACCTGAAAAACAAAAACACCTCCTTGAGATAAGAAATATTTCAGAAGGAGCCTAAAAATAAAATATCATCCTGGTCTTCATATGCGTAGGTGCCAGACTGATGTGTTTGAATTTTGTCTAAAGAGCTCTAGCTTCAGGATTGCTGGCAGGAAGTAGTTTTAACCTCTGAAGATCCATTTACTATCTTCAACTGCTGGCCAATATGATAGACATCAGCTGCCTGAACTGTGCCTTGGGTGTAAAATATACACTAGATTTCAAAGATTTAGCACCCAAAAAAACCCCAGCTTGTAAAGCATATCATTAATAGTATCATGCATATATAATTAACATATTTTCATTAATAGTTTCAGTACAGATATAGGATCCTTCATCCAAAATGCTTAAGACCAGAGGTGTTTGGGGTTTTCTTAATTTTTTCTTCAGATTTGCATATGCATAATGAGATATCTTTGGGATAGGAACCAAGTCTAAATATGAATTTTATTTATGTTTTTTTAATAATAAACTTTCTCCACATAGTCGAAAGATAACTTTTTTTAAATACTGGGGATTAAACTCAAGGGCATTCAACCACTGACCCACATCCCCAGCCGTATTTTGTATTTTATTTAGAAACGGGGTCTCACTGAGTTGCTTAGTACCAACCCCAGCTTTTGCTGAGGTTGGCTTTGAACTTGCAATCTCCCTGCCTCAGCTGCCCAACCTGCTGGAATTACAGGCTTACACCACCACCCCCAGCTCTGAAGGTAACTTTATATGATGTTTTTACTAATCTTGTGCATGCAACAAAGTTTCATGATGTGGAATGTTCCTTTTATGGAATCATATTTGCACTCCAGAAGTTTTAGATATCAGATTTTTGAATCAGGAATGCTCAACTTGTATTGACTACATGAAGATATTTTTTATATACTGGATTAAATAAAATATAATATTAAAATGTTTAAAATAATAGTTCCATGATCTAGATTTAACCAAACTGCTCTTGAATACTTAACACAAGACAATTTTGATTTGAGAGGCAATTACTTGGGACCCAGTGAGATGCTGTATTCGTGTGCTAAAGATGGGGAAGCAAGTTGTGGAGGAGATCTGGGATGAGGACCAAGGGATTCAGAGTCCTGTGGGCATAGTTACTCTTCTGAATTCTCTTGGAATTCATCACCAAGTTCAGAGCTTGTTTGTTACCCTCTAGGCAGAAGGAATTAAAACTTTTAAAGAAAATAAAGAAAGAAAAAAAGTATCTGCAGTGGAGAAATAGATCAAAGGCAGATGAACTTGGTCAGTGGCATGCAGGATAAATATTATTTCATGGCTCAGACAAATCTTCTGGCTGCCTGGGCAAGACATGTTGATAAGGCACTTTTATATCTCTTCTTTCTGCCATCCATTCACCCAACCCTGGTGACCTCTTCTTTCTATTTCTCTAAGGGGCCCCCTAGTGATAGTTTAAAACTAGACTAAGAAAGAGTTCATTTGAGTAGTGTAGGAAGACTTCGGATTTTCAGGCAGAACTGAGTTTCACATCCCAGTCTGCTATGCTAACCACAGGGGTTGGACCTTGGAGCCTTATTAGCAGGGAAAGCTGTTCCAATTCTGTACTGGAGCCTGCCTTACCAGGAACTGTGTAATTTTCTGGCCCTATCATCTCTAAGAAGATGATTTTAATGAATGCACTTGTGAAAGTATCTTGTGAAAATTGGAATCTTAGGAGGAACTGACAGGATCCTGGGTGCTCTGAAGGAACTTAAGGGCTCAGCACCGGAATGTTAGCAAACCTTCCAGTCAGTGAAAAATTATCAAAGGTTAAACTTATAAACAGCTGTGCTGTGCCAGCCACATACCCCTCCACAGCTTTGCAGACATTGTCACTCTTGATCCTCACAGAAGCCCCATGAAGTACTGATAGGAAGAGATGCAGCTCATACAGAGTCATGCAGCTACTAAGTGCCAGACTCTGTGTGATCTACAAGACCAGGCTCTGAGCCACTAAGCTATGGAGATCACCCAGCCAGGCCTCTTGTGTTGTGTCTCTGCACTATCCGTTCAACAGTCAAACTCTAAGACATTTTCTTACTTTTATGAGAAAGGAAGTTTCCCAACCATCCCCTGTTACTTTTATTATTTTCATTGCCATCATTCACCTCTAAAATGGAAGGTTTTTTGGAGATGACTTTCCAGACAATCCAGGGCTGCTGCCACAGTCGTTCTGCACAAAACTATAGGAGGCACCACTCACTCTACTGTTGTGCAGTATACAAGCTGCACAATGGTACATTGGACCTGAAGGTGAAGAAAGCCAAATGGATCCAATTTTACTTCTCACCAATTCCCATCCTCCACCTCACTCCTGACAATTACAAAGCCATATGCTAAAAGTGTCCCGTACTGTTGATTTAAATATGATCTTGAGCTTCTCCTTAACAGATTTAAGAGAATTTACTTAACTATTCTTCAGGGTCATCACTTCTTTGGTTTGTGTCTCTGGTATTTAGGTAAAAGTAGTCGGAACCAGAAACTCATCACGAGTAGGAGTTCCGCCACTATGCCTGAAAGAGAATGGGTTAAGTTTATGAATGTCATCTATGAGGTCATGGACATGTATTTTAACCTGAAGATCCCTAAATCTTCTTACACAATTGTGGCTTCCTTAAGAACTTATATATGGCTTTCTTGATAACTTCTGTCAGAGAATGTCTTGTTGTTTTGTTAAGCATGTTCTAGAATAATTTTTTTTAATTTTTTTGAAGTTATGTTAGGGGAAAAGGTGTTCAAGGAACACATTAGAGTTTTATCTATTAAAAGAAAACAGTGAGATAATAAAATAATAACACTTTTCCCATATTAGCTTGTAAACAGGCTCGTGAAAACCCCAAGAGATGTTCTAAAATATGTTCTGCAGAATGGCATCATTTTGAAATAAATACAACTATTGTAAAGACAAAAAGCCATTGGTTCTAGAAAAGTAAGATTTAAAAGATGTTTTATTTCTTTTTATTCACCTCTGTCATAAAAGAATAATGTCCAATTCTTGGTGCTATGCTCCTGATTGCATGCTAAAGAATACAAGGTAAAAATAATTTAAAATAACTACCCCCAAATGCTAAATTGAACTCTGTGGCTTGGCATGGAATGTAGGGCTTATGTTTAAAAACTTATTTTTAAAAGAAAAGTAATTCAGAGGAGGGAAAAACCACTGAAAACAGTAGTTTCTCTGCCAACTTTAGCTCCTAACCATCTAAATGCCTGGCAACCAAATGTTCCATAAACTACAAGTGCCAAGTAGCAGCCCCGGCTGCCACTGAGCACACGCACGCGCAAACACACTTGCCTGAGTATTACTCATTGTGGGTGTTTATATATCTGCCCTAAATTAGGATGCTGAACCCCAGATGTAGGTTGAAGGATTCTGTAGCTTTGCAGTGCTGGAAGGGACAGATTCTGTCCCCTGCTCAGGCAGAAACACTGGGAGATTTGGGGGAATCAAGTCCCCAGTAGGGTGAGAGTAGCTCTGGCCCAATACCAGTCCGACCAAGCTGTCCCACTTCCCCAGGGCCGATTAGTAACATGGAGGCCAGGATGAGAGTCTGAGGAGTGCAGTTCCTTCCCTCCCTGGAGATAAAAATAGTGGGCACTGCTTCTTCCTGACAGTGACCCTACTACACAGCACCGAATACATGAGATCTGAATGCGAAGCTCTGACCCTTCTCATTCACTTTTCATGGCAGCTCTGGAACAACATTCAGGGCACAGAGTGGATATCAATGACCAGTCGTTATTACAGTGTTATCTTGAC